ATATATATATATATATATATATTAGGTACTAAAAAAGCAGACAGTAAGAAGAGTACGCTAAAGATTTTAAAAGTTTCAGGTCTAGAATGTGACGCCGTCATCACAAATCCTAATACTCAAACTGTGATTGTGTTAAAAACCATTACAGATATGAAAATGCCAATCATGTTACAAAACGTCTAACTTTCTTGTTGAATTTTCAATGTTTTAAAGTGAAGTATGTCTCATCTATGTTGCTCTAAAGTTTTTCACACGTTTTCTGTGGGGATTTCTTGTTTTTTGTTTTTTTACTCATTTTGTTTATTGTTCAGGGCAGTGATATCTATCAAAAATACCACACTATTGCCAATCATGCTCGGTGTATATTTTGTTGTTTTTCTTTTTCAGCATGGGTTGAGAATGAGAAACTGTGATGGAAACAGATAAAGGGAATAAACCAACAGAACAGCGAAACAGAAAAAGGGTTCTTCAAAGCACATCGGCACCCTTAAAGACCACAGAGCTGACTTTTTTTAATTAGACACTTTTCCTGAAACATTTGAAGCTTCCACCATTAAAAGCGAAACTTAAAAAAAGCCCATTTACCACCAGTCAGAGCGTGTGCTAATAGCCTTTTATCTTTCCAGAGCGACACCAGCTCCAAATTATCCTAACATTAGAGAGGAGCTATTCCCAGTGACAGGATGATGGGTGGACTTGACACTGGAAGTCAGCGTGGTTCCTCCGGAGCTGGTGAGGATTAAATCATGATAATGTCCCCTCCGTGTCACCAGGTGGTGGACACCACCTGATGACTGTGTTATTGTCCCTTACACCATGATCATCTGCCTGACAACAGCTGGACACTGAGGGGGAGCATCTCCACACACAAGTTTGTATATCCTTATTAGGACCGTGTACTGACTTCCATTCATTTCTGTAGCCTAACCCTAAATGTTATCCCTAACCCTGGGGTGTCAAACTCATTTTCACCGAGGGCCATATCAGCCTCATTGCAGCCCTCAGAGGGCCAGTTCAGTTAGATTTGATATTTCATGTTCCTTGTTTTCATCGGAACGAGATCTGCAGCTCTCGCTGGAGCGGTTCGCGGCCGAGTGTGAAGCGGCCGGGATGAGGCTCAGTACCTCCAAATCTGAGGCCATGGTCTTGAGCCGGAAAAGGGCAGAGTGCCTTCTCCGGGTCAGGGGGGTCGTCCTGCCTCAAGTGGAGGAGTTTAAGTGTTTGGGGATCTTGTTCACGAATGGGGGAAGAAGGGAGCGGGAGGTCGACAGGCAGATTGGTGCAGCGTCTGCTGTA